GATTGCGCCTGGCGCCTTGGAAATACGGAGGGCAGTCCGCGGGTTAGTCTCTTCCCACATCAAAACTGGTACGTCCGTTTTATGGATTAGGAAGCGGAGACGTGGAGTTAGTAACTGCTTCATCCAAAGAAGTAGGAGCTGGTGTAGGAGCTGGGCTATGTCATTCTGCAAAAATACTTCTATAAACCTTAAAGTTGTTGAAGCATCTTTGAGTAGCAAATGAAGAAAATGTGTCATGAGGTTTGCTCACAGTAAGGCGGAAATCAGATTAAGTCAGATTTTGCTCTGTGAAGCGCGCAAAAGTGAACTGCTGGTCAAAGCGATGATGGTGGCATCACGTGATGTTCCAACAGTGGCACAAACCAAAAAAAATAATGATTTCTTAAATGGAGCCTGATCCTCCATCCATGCAACGTGGACATGAAATCTAGAGAAGAGGCAGCTCCGAGCTGTTGGCTAATGGCACTGGCCGGGCCGGTGCTCACTGCCTGCCCTGATTTCACCTCTCCTCCAGCCATTAATAATAGATCCCTCACCCTTCTAGCTTTACAGGTGCCAGGCAGTGTTTTTCAAGCCTCTCAGCTGTCTGCCAGATAAATTAATTGTTGAGCTGGGTTTTGAATGTCATCAGGATGTCCTGCTCCACTCGGGTCAATCTGGAGGTGAGAATATCACCGCTCTGTGCACGTTGTTTTGGCCTTTCCTGAATTCATCCAGGTGGGAAACAAAATAGCTGCTGTCCACAGAGCAGGGCTAAAAGCAGACATGTAGGCAGGCAGGACTCAGCAAACCTGGCTTAACTTTTCTTGTTATTTTGCTTTATTAACCCACTTAAGACTACTTGCAAGTTTATTAATCCGTTCTCATGTTCCCGGTCGCGCTGCGTAGCCCGCGCGGGGCCAAGCGCGAGCGTCGCAGGCGCGGGAGGTGCCGGTGCCAGGCTGGGGGCTTGGCGGGACCCCCAAACCCAGCACTCCCGAGGGAAGTGCTCAGGGTTCCGGAGAAAGCAACTTTGGAGCCATGGGCTGTTTCAGTTATAAACCCATCTTCTAATTTACTTGGGAATTAGACTTGGCCACCAGGTCACATCCTAGGGAGACATTTTAGAACAATTTTCAAAGCAGTTAATTTGGACATTTTTCAACAATTTAAATGCAAATACAAATGAATAAATAATTTATGCATAGCTGTTGCTGAGAACTATTTTAGTTTAGGAGTGCACAAGTTGTCCCACAACTAGCACAGCCTGTCTGCAGAGCAGCTGGCAGTTTGGAAAAGCAAGCTGTAAAGCTGGGAAAGGGGCCGCCAAACGCCCTGCACCTTTGCAGTGGTGTTTACCTTGGGACCTGCCGCTGTGACGGGGCTGTTGGCGAGGGAATGACGCCGTGTCAGCACTTTAATAAGCCCTTGAAGAAAAAGATTATGGAGCCTGTAACACAAAGTTATTTTAAAGTCATTATGCTACAGTAATAGTTTATAGAGGGCTTGAAGTCTTGAGGAGTTCCAAACCGTGGAGCGGGGTCTATGAGCAGGCCCAGGTGACAAATGAGGCTGACGTTCGGGTGCGCGCTTATCCCAGGGGAGGCTGCGGCGGAAGGCGCCTCGGTTACGGATCCCTGGGATTGGTGCTGACCTGGGGGACGCTCTTCCTACGGACGGGCAGGAAGAGCCGGGTCCCGGACGTGTCGGTTGGCAGCACAGGGAGAGTGGAAGTCGCTGGGCACTCGGCTGCAGATCGGCACCGTCCCCAGCTGTGCGCTGAGCCGTGCGGATTGGGGGGTTAGTTTTCAAATGAGCATTATAAATTTTTATATGGATTACGTTTATAAACAAAATGAACCCTAACACTTAGTTATATGTTTGTCATCATAGCTTAAATTTGCTCATAACATGAAGGGAAAATCTCTGGGAAAAAAAAGTGGATCAGCTCTGCGTAAGTCAGTATGGGCACCGGCGCTCACGGTAGTGTAGGAAGCTCATGGAGATAACGTGTTTACACAGCCAGCTGTAAACAGCTGTCAGAAAGCGCCACAGATGAACAAAACTGAAGTCCTTTCAGACAAACGTAAATGTTTTTCTGTTTTGTTTTGCTTGAAAGTGTTTTGTGTGGAAGCTGAATGTTTCCTTTATTTTTTGAAAAATGAAACGTTTTGTTTGGGTCAAGCATCATAGTCTTCCCAAACAAAAATATTTTTAGGTTTTTTTCAGTACACTTTTTTTCTCATTTAATGTGAACAGTTCGCGCAGGCTGCAGTTTCTGCAGGCCGAAAGGAGCAGCAGCCTTTGGGTCCCTGCGGACACCTGGTGCCAGGTCTCTGCAGAGCCCGGGCTCGGGGCCGCTGCAGGTCCTGCCTCTTGTTGCACTGCGCCCTGCTCTGGACCCTGTCACCAGGGGCTGGTACCGCTGGCTGGTGCTGCCGCAGCCCGGGCTACTTCTCCTGCCGCTATCAATGGCCACAATGAGGCTACTCGTCCTTTCAATTACGCTGCAGAGAATCCCTTAATCTCTTTAAGTAGCTCCCCTAGTCTCATCTCCTCATTCTCGTTACCTCTGCTAGCATCTAGAGCCCCATCCTAATCTGGGGTTGAAAGTAAGAAGGGTTTTATTTATTTATTTATTTGACATTGATTCTGTTTGGGCTTGTTGTATGTCCGAGGAAGCCATCAAAAAAGGATCATGTTCTGTAACCCTTTGGGTGAGGGTTGTTTCTCGGCATCCTGGCACTCGTCAGTGCACAAAAGCCACGCGGAGAGGTCAGAGAGCAACACGAGAGGCGTTTGCAAAGAGCGTTCTGCCCTTTTGCTGTTGCCAAAGTGACTTCTGGTCCTTGCTCTCTGCAGAGCAAAGCTGCTGCTGTGGTCAAGGGGAGGGTTGCCTTGGACTAGATGAAGGCAGTGGTGGCTCTAAGCAGGTGGTCAAGCGCCTTGTTGGCCTGCGGACGCGGCTCGTCCTGCAGGACGCGCTGGTTGTCCCTTCTGGACCGGCTGCGCCGCCGCTTCCCGCGGTCGGGACTAGCGCTGATAACTCTGGCCAGGCTGGAGCACGGGCAGGAAACCCGGCCGCTTCAAACGGCAGGGCCGGATCCCAGCAGCATCGATTAAGCGGGAAACTCTTTTCCCCGCATTTTTATTGATTCTCAATATTGTACAGAACCTAGTCATGTAAAGCAATAACACGGAAAAAGACAAAATCATTGAAAAACAGTTACAGATCAAATGCCCTGTTCTTGAAGTCAAACTCCGCACCCCGCCTGCTCTCCCTTGCTGCCGCGCGCTGGTTGCGGACACGTTTCCAGGCACAGAGGAGGTGGGGAAGGTGCGCGTCCCGCTCGGCGCTGGATGTGCCTGTGGCTCTCACATCCGCATCGAGCTCGGGCGAGGTGAGGACGAGGGATCCGTTCCTCGCTGTCGCTTTCCCACCTTGCTTCCCGGGATGCCTGCAGCGCTCCCTGCACCAGGCTGCCCGGCTCCTCTGTGCGTTCCCAGCGTGGGAGGCTTTGACTCCCTGTTCCCCAGCACCAGGGGGATTCCTCCCATCCACAGCAGAATACCAAAGGAAAGATTTCTTTCTCCTTTCGTCTAATCTGTCGGGAGATGGAGGAATATGATCTTCTGCGACTAATCTGCTAGCGGCAGAAGGATTGTCGTCTCGTCTCCAGGGTCATTCCAGAGACAGAGCGACTTTATTCTCTAACTCTCAGCTAAAATCTGAATAATTAATCTGATAATATAGCTAGAATGAGAAGTTTTAGCTTTCTGTTTCTCTGCTGTTCCTCAGAGATCCCCCAGTCATGGGGCTGGTGCCCTGTGTGCAAGAACCACAGACTTGGGGCTTCATCCTCCTCTCCCACTCAACCAAGCGGCACCAATATCAAGTTGTTCCCCCAAAAATCCTATTTGCTAAATCATGTAAAAATCTGCTTTCTTGTGTGAGAAGGGAACTTCTCACCGTCTGTAATGACTTGAGGTTGCAGAAATCCTTGTGCTTTGGTTACGTGGCTCCCGTGTTTGTGGAGGGCCGGGTGCAGGGAATGCCGCAGGGACTTCTTGATCGCTTTCCTGGGCGGCAGCTCCTTCCCAAGTAGTGACGTTGAAGTCACTAGGAGGGAGTTTCTAGGAGGGACCTGGAGTTGTGTAGTCTCTCCCACTCCCTGAATTCTGTGGGATTTTTCGGGAACTCTTCTCAGCTGGTTCAGATTTGACTCTGCCCCAAACCTGGTGTGTAAGCGCTGCTCGGCGTGCAGAGGCCTGGCTCCTGCCTGGTCTGAGCCCTTTCTTCCCTCTCTTCTCATGAGAAGATTGATCCTTCTTATCCTGTGACCCTTTAGTTTCCCAAAGAACCTTTGGTGCAAGATGTTCTTCACAGCTTCTAGAAAATCTGCTGCCCCGTGTCACACCAAATTGCCCGTATTCAGAGCTGTTGTCTCTGGCAGAGAACTGGGATTTATAGGTACAAGTTCATCCCTGGGCTCTCCCCATCGTGCCCTGTTTATTCGTGTCTGCTAATTCATATTTTACTTCACAGTTTTCTACCCTTTTGTCTGTTGTGTAAGTCTGACCTGTGGTCTGTAATGCCCAGGATTGCTGGTAAAGCCCTTTCTAGAGAGTTGTACTTCCAGTCCTCTGGTACCAATAAAGAAAGGACGCTCAGCAGTTTCCTACTTGAGCTCATTTAAACCTCCAGAGGGAACAGTGTTGGTGTCTGGTGACTTGTTACACTGGTGCAGGGACCTCCCCAGCCTCATCCGTGGTGAACATCAGTTCCAGGAGTTAATTTAATTCTGCATCTCCATCGTTCTCCGCCGTGCGCTGGTCCCCTGCAAGCGTTGCCCGGCGAGGGCGGCCTCCTGCCCGGGCTTGGCAAAGTCGGGCTCAGCTGAATTGGAACCAACGCAGCTAGAAGAATATTTGTTCTGTGCTCTGGGCTGCCTTCTGGTTCTCTCGGTGTGCTATCCCATGTTTTTCAGGCTTCTTTACATGCTTTGTGTTTCTCATTGCAGGCGGTATTCCGGAGAAGTGGCACCAAGTTCTTCCAGTCTGAGTAAGAGCCGACGTCCCGCTTCGCTCACTGGTACTGGATCTTGCCCCAGAACCGTTGCATTTCCGTACTGAGGTAGGGAGATCTTCTCTGACCTCATTGTCTTAAGCCTTGTAAGGGTGATTTTTGTGTGCCCTCCTGGGATGTGTAGTGTAAATGGCATGGATTAAACGCGGTATGAGACGTGGAATGCAGCCATGCGGTTTCCGGGCGGAGGTTGGCGAGGTCTCCGTGCTGTTTATCCTGCGCCGCTGTGCTGAGCAGCCGGATTTGCCGGCTGTTCCCCGTGACGGGTGCGATGCCGTCCACAGAGCCTTTCCTGGCCCTTGCCTTGCTGGTTGTCGTCTCTGGGCCGGCAGCGTTCGCTCGTGGTGCTCGGGACGGAGCACGTGAGGGGAATGGAAGGAGTTTGCACCGCCGCGTCCTGCGGAGCGTGGGCCTGGCCAGGGTTTGGGCTTGGCGCTCGGGGCGGGCTCCGAGCAGCCGCGCGGGCTCCACCGCTTCCCTGCTGCTCGTGACCCTGCCCGATGGTTTCTGGCGCTGGAGAACAGCCGAGCGGGTCGAGTCTGTGGCTTCATGTCCTTGGCAGGAAACCGGCCCTCAAACTTCTGTCAAACAGGCCTAGGGAGGAGGAGGAGAAAATAGCAACTCCAGACCCGCCCGATTTACACGTGCAGTGCTGAAATCGAGTCAGATTCGCAGGGTCTGTTTCTCAGTTGCTCAATTTCCAGAGATCATGAGAGGTGATGTGCTGGCAGGAAAAATAGCCTGCAAATACAGTGAAAACAAACTCCTAACTTGGCCTGAAGAGTCTCTGAACCTTCTCCACTAGACTGGGCTCTGGAAAGCGCCACTACCCCAGGACCCCCATTGCCCCCCCTACTCGTGTCATGATCTAATTCAAAATTCAGTTTTGTTCAACTGTAAATCACTTGTGTTAAAGTGCCTGTTTTTGATATATCTGAGTATCTCGAGGCATTATACTGTCACTCTTAGTATTTGGGGTACTACATAATAACTAAGTATCTTTGTGTAACACTAATAACAGCAGAAAAAATAATGGTAGGCTCCATGAAATACAATTCGGTGTCCTGCATTTACCTAGATGAAAAGCTGAAAGGTGTAAGTCTGGAGCTGCTTTTTTTATTTTTATTTTATTTTCCCCTTTATTTATTTTTTTTTCATCCTTTCAGGAAGCTTTCTTGTTGCTTTCTTCATACATTTTTGTCTGAAGTATTTTGTTTACAACATATGTATGCACTTCAGTTTCTTGAGAATCATCAGACTTAGAAATTAAATGGAAACCTTGGGAAATTCTCTGATGGGCAAAGACATTTAATAGCTTAGAGGAGCCTGAGCAGAGCGTCTGCTTTTTCCCTGTTTAGCCGGGAAACTTTTGGAGGCCCTTGTGTCCTGTTGCATGAGCTGTGCGATGCTCTGCAAGTGCCGTAAGCCAAGTCCGGGGCTTGGCAGGAAGAATTCCCATCGAATTCCCACCTCCGCCAAGCTGGAAGCAGCATTTTTGGCTTCAATTTGAGGCTGAGACAGCAAATTTAATGAAACAGTGGAAGAAGAGGAAGGCAAGCAGAAGGTGAGAGGGAGAGGAGGAAGGTAAAGGAGGGTTGGGAAATGCTGGTCTTATCTCCTGCTGTTGTATCTTGGCTGATTCTGTTGTGTTGTGGATTGTTTGTCTTCTTTAAAAGCATTGGCTGTATACAAATGAAAGCAGCAGCTATCCTGGAGGTCGCAGGCATCACCCTGTGTTTTTGTTCTATCGAGTTTTCTGTTTCCCATCCTGGTTAGTTACTGGCTACGCTGTGACCTGCGCTGGGAACTGTAGTGCACACTGATTCACGTAGGATTTAGTTGGAAAAGCAGCTACATTTCAAGCCCGGGAGATCAGTGGTCCATTGTGTGTGTAGCTGGTGAGCCGGGTGTGTAGTCACCGCCCCGGCTCCGCGTCGCCGGCCTCCGCAGCGGGCAGGGTTTAAGCCGTGCCTCAGGAGGGAGGAGAACCCAGTGGGATGGTAGAACGGGAAATGGGATAAAGCACAAGGTGCACTGGAGGGGGTGGTCGGGCCCACGCGGTAGCCTTGCCTCATGTCCAGTCCTGCAGAGCAACAGATTGAGCAAGATCGCCCGTCTCCGGGTTTCAGTGCCCTGTTTGGTGTTACAGCATAAAGGGAACTTACATGGAATCCAGGAACAAGGGGACCTGGGGAGCCAGCTCAGCAGGAGGTGGCTGTGGGTGAATGCAGGGAAGCAGAGGACAGGCTTGCGCTGGGAATCTCTGGAAACCGTTGTGGGGGCAGTCTGATCACTGCTTGTGTGGTGCGGGACCGCGCTGGGCTGCCCGACCTCGGAGCTTCCTCCCGCTGTGGGGCCGGAATGAGGGGCAAAGGGCCTAAACTAAGGATGGGCGCTGCAGGTGCCGCACGAGCCGCGCTTGCGTCGAGCACCAGCCGCTCTGCGGGTGCAACTGGGCCCAGCACGGCCCAGCCACGAGGGCCTGCTGGGAGCCCTGCGCTGTGGGCAAGTTCTGTGACTTCCTTGGAGCAAACACTGAATAGTTAGAGAAGAAGAATATGCGTAAGAGAAGTACAGCTAAATGTTTGCATGAAAATGGGCTTTATTAGGTGAATTGTAACTTTTGAAACTTGTCCTTTAAGCAAACTCAGTAAAGTGTTACAATTTCAGGGTTATTTTATGAAAAAAACAAGATAATGTGAGGCTCAGGGAAAGAGGGGGCCGGGCTTGCTCGCAGCTGCAGCAAGGACAAGACCACGCAGAACCTGGGAGCGGAGCAGGGCTCGCTCCCTTCACCTAGAAAACGGGCCTCGTTTGCTCCGCGCCTCGCTCACGGTTCCCTTTGCGTCTCAAACAGACGGGTTATCGAGTTCAGGGCCATGAATTCAGGCCCAAGTGGGGAGGGCAGTGCCATGGTTCATGTTTCTGCTGCATTGGTCAGAGTTTATTAATTAGCGTTATTGCCGTCACCTGCTCATGGACGGGTAGGTGGTTCCGCAGCGAGCGCGGAGGCGGCGGGTGCGGGAGCGGCGCGGCGGTCCCGGGCGCGGGACGCTGCTCCTGCCCCTTCTAGAGCCGGGAGCCTCAGCCCGGCAGCGCCAGGACCGTGTTCCCAAGGGGGACGGTCCGTGCCGGGACATGTGAGGGACATTCCTGTGTGAGTGCAAGAACAGGCGTTTCCGAGCATCACAGAGGTGCCTCCAGAAACGGGGGTGAAAAAACAGTTGTATTTTAGTGGCTTCAAAACTCTGGTCCCACTCATAAGTGGCCCAGTGGGCCACCATAGGGCCATAGCAGGCAGCAATGTTCTTATTATTTTGCAATGTTTTCAATTAAAAGATTGATAGTAAGGGTTCACTGGAGTTGAGGATCAATTTGGAGGACTCGTAATGGTTTAAGTTTGTTTATCCGTTTGTTAAGACAATTGCAACAGCGTTGAGTGAGGTTATCCAGCATGTCCTCACTGTGTGTAAGTTAGAGAGTTGTTCTTGAACACATTAGCTGTTCAGCATGCAGGAAGACATGGGCACAGGGCAGGTATTCAAATGAACAGGAGGTTTTCTTCCACTTCCTGCTACAGATTAAATATTTAACTGATCCATCTTTGAAACATTTAAGCTGTGGCCTCCTGGCTGGCGCAGCTGAGCCCGGCTACATGGAAAGGGGTGCAAACACATCACAAATGGGTCAGAATGCCCGGATCCCTCCTCCCGCCAGCCCTGCTCGCGGCAGAAAGCGAAAGGCAGCGGCTCTGGAGCCCCGCGGTGCCTGTGGCGGTGCAGGGCCCGTGGTGCCGCGCTTGGCCGCGTCCAGGGAACACAGCTCCTGTGCCAGGACTCCCGTCCGTCCTTGCCGCACGCAGAGCATGTGCATCCCGCGTAATTGTCTTTCAGATTTCCACTATTGGATAGTTCCTTATGAAAAGACCATGCAGGGATCTAGTGCTTTTATTCTCCACCAAAATATGGCATTTGGGGGGGACATACTAGTTGCTGCAGAATAACATGTTTTAAAAGCAAGGCGCAGGCAGAGCCGCTGGGCATGAGGCAGCCGGGACAGGTGGCGCGGGGCGGGCGCCGGGATGTGCTGCGGCTGCTGAGACACAGGGTGGGCGCCGGGACGCAGGTGGGTGCCGAGGTGCACTGCAGCTCCTGCCCGCGCTGCCCTGGCGGGGCTCCTGTTGCGGAACCGCAGGGCTGCAGTGGATGAACCCAGCCTACTGACAGAACTTAGTCCGCAGGCGCCTGGGCTCGGCCCGCAGCAGCAGCGTGGACGGTAGCGCTGCTGGCAGCTGCAGCAATTAAGACGTCTCCTTTTGGGCAAGTGCGGACGTTTCTGCGGAGCCTTTGTGGAGGCGACACGCGCGGCCCCGTGTGCAGCGCTGCGACGGGCGCCTTGGCGCCGTGACGGGCACCGCGCCCGCCACCCCAGCCTGCCCGAGGGCCTTTCTTCTGGTCCCAGGGCCGTAAATCCCCTCTTTTTATCCTCAACACGCTTTAAATAGCTCATTTGTTTTCATGATAGGTTTTTGCACCCCACCTTTATTTCTTGCTAATGAATTTCTAGGGTCTAATTGCGAAACAAAAGCTTAAATGGGAGCATAAAAAGGGAGGTGACAAAGGCCGGGACTGAATGGCGGGCAGGGAGATGGCCGTGCTTGCCGCCGCGTTGACATGGCTGGGTTAGTTATGCTAATGCGCCGCCTTAGCATGCGGCTCAGGTCTGCGCCGCGCTCGCAGCCCGCTCCGCTCCCCGCCGCCGCGCGCCCCGCGGCTGCCGCCGGCGCCAGGAGGCAGACGGAGCAGCGTGGAGCTGTGCGGAGCAGCGTGGAGCGGAGCAGAGCAATGCGGAGCAGAGCGGCCGCGCGCTGCGCCCGTGTCCCGCGCCGCCTCCCGAGAGCCGCGCACCACCGCAGCGTGCGGCTGCCGCCGGCCCCCCAGCGCAGCGCCTAGCGCAGCGCGAGTGGAAGAGAGGGCTCTCACATCCAAAACAAAGGAATGGCGTTTCGTAGCGCACGTGCACCACAGCAGTCCTGAG